TTGGCTTTTCTGTTGGATAACTTCCTAGAAAGTCTAAAATAATTTAGTCTATATAAGCCTTATGAGTCAATCATACCCTAAGTGGAAACACAGGTATTTAAAACCAGCCAGCTTTCCTTTTGACTTTTTTTTCCTGAGGCCCTTCTCAGGAACGTAACTATTTTTGTTAGGAAGTACAGAAAGGAGTGGTCTGTTGTTTAATGACAGAACCACTGCCATGCAGGAGGAGACCAAAGGGAAGGGTGCCATTTAAGGCTATGCACTTTAAGGTGCCTTAGTTCTAAAGAAAAATCTTTTGCCATTTGTACAATGAAAGCTTATTATAAGAGCTAGTTAAGCTTCTTTAATCCAAAGTACATCCTAATTTCCTAAAAGGTAGTCCTGAAAATTTAGGTTAACATATCATATTGCTATAGAAAATATTAATGCATTGTTTTCAAGGTTTTATATCCATTTTATGAATAATAAAGTAGAAAATGAATCAAATACAGACTCCTATTAGTAAAATTCGGGGGAAGGTAGAACATTCTGGGTTCAACCTCATTGAAATCTCGTTATGAGTCCTTGGTGAATGCTTCTGTTATAAAATACTGATTTAAATATGGTACCGGGGCTCTCTCTTTGAAAAGAAATTTGCATGTAAGATAAACTGGCAAGCATTTTAGATCTCATACTATTAGTTATGCTTTTGAATAAATTATGCTTCCTTCTGAAATGAAAATGTATATTCATGAATATGCTTTGGATTTCCATCAAGTGTTCTTAAAATGTCAAATTGCATTCAAAAGTTGCTTCAGCTTGATGGGTCAGGCAAAATCAAATATAGAAAGTGAGGCCAGAATCTATTTATGGAGGCAGTAGACCTTTCACACATGACCCCAGCCTGCCCCTGCAGCCCCAGCTCCTCCTGCTACTCCTCCACTCCACGAAGCCTGGTGCCAGCCACAGGGACTCGGGGTCACTTCCTGAACATGCTTTCCTCCTGTGCCTTTGTTTACCCTGTTCCCTTTGCATGTAGGGCCTAACTCAACATCCTCAAAATCTGGCAAAAATCCCATCTCCTTGTAGTGGTTTATGTAACCCTTTGGCCAGAATGAACCGCATGCTGCTTTGCCAGTTGCTGCCCTTGTCACTCTGTACTCAGACTGTCTAAGGGACGAGACATTGTTTTACTCATCTCTGTGTCTCCTCTGAAAGCCAGCCCAGGACCTGGCTTTACGTTATAGATGCTCAGTAAGTATTTGTTTACTGAAATGCATTTTCACATCTCTGTAACCTGTCCTATTCTTCTATCATATGAAATGCCACAGAAATTATCAAGAGTTTTACAGGTCTTATGGAGAATGTTTTGAAATGGGGACTTTTTATTTCCCTCTCTAGGGAGACAGCTAATGGAGTTTTCCCACATAGCTAATGTCCCAAACTATCAATGTTTTCTCCAGGAAACCATTTTGTGCCTCATTGGTTTACTGAAAACATAACAGCACTGTCCAAGTCTGATTCTCAGCTTGAATGCCATTAAAGAGTAATGAAGGGAAAAGTTACATAAAAGGTTCAAATTATTACAGTAAATGCATTTCAAAGATCATTCTAATGGTGAATTAGTTTATGAAATGAGAGGATCAAGCTTCATTGTGGTAAGATTTTACCCTTTTCTTTTGATAAAATTCTAAGCAATTTTTTTTTTTTTTTTTTTTTGAGACGGAGTCTTGCTCTGTCACCCAGGCTGGAGTGCAGTGGCCGGATCTCAGCTCACTGCAAGCTCCGCCTCCCGGGTTTACGCCATTCTCCTGCCTCAGCCTCCCGAGTAGCTGGGACTACAGGCGCCCGCCACCTCGCCCGGCTAGTTTTTTTGTATTTTTTTAGTAGAGACGGGATTTCACCATGTTAGCCGGGATCGTCGCTCGATCTCCTGGCCTCGTGATCCGCCCGTCTCGGCCTCCCAAAGTGCTGGGATTACAGGCTTGAGCCACCGCGCCCGGCCAATTCTAAGCAATTTTTAAAAAGTGTAAGTCTCAAGTTACCTAGGTTTCCTACCAAAATGGCAGATCCCTGGCCCTCACTATTGGCAAATTCAGAGTCAGTAAGTCTAAAATGAAACCTAGGAATCTGAATTGTAGGAAATACAAAGGCAATTCTGGTGTAAAAAAAATCACAGGATTGCACTTTGAAAAACCCAGATGTTCTGAGGAAAGTGGAAAGGTAATCATATTAATGGACGTATTATATGCTCAAAATATTTGCTAAGCATGTGTTACACAAGCCAGGCCCTGGGCTGGCTTTTAGAAGAGATACAGCTGAATAAGGCAATATCTCTTCCTCTAGACAGCATCATTTGTACTTGAATATTCTAGGAAGTTGGATAAAGTTACTTGGTCGAAGTGTCCTGGCACTGATAAGCCAAAATAGGCTGTCAGTTATGTTCTGCTCTAATTGCAATAGTGTTCTGGGCTTAGATACACATTTCATACATTCATGATGAACAAGGAAAGGAATGCTTTACCATGGCCAAAGAAGTCAGACAGGATATTCCTCATGCCTCCTTGTTCTGAAAAAAGACTTGGATTTAGAGATTCAGTAGCTCTGAGCTGGAGTGAATGGTTCATTATGTTTTTGCTATAAGTATCTATAAAATATAATTCCAGTTAAGCACCTGAGGGGTTTTAAACCTTTATTATCTGGCACCCTCAATGAGTAACTCAGAAATAAGTACTCTAAAAGACAACAGTTTACCTGTGGCTCCCAAATTGCAACTTAGCTATAGTAATTTTTATCATTGATATCCCACAAGTTCACAGAGAGTTAGCAGTCTATGTATTATTGGGACAGTGAGTTAGAAATTACACTTTATTCCATCCGTGTGTAATTATAATCCTGTATTATATATGTTTTCATATTTGTCCTTTATTTCCCAGTAGACTCTGAGTGTCCTATGGACCAAAAAAAAAAAAAAAAAAATCCTCAAACTTGTTATTCTGTGACACCTAGTACAAACATGAGTGGGTATCCAAAATATACTTTTAGATTGCTTAAATTAACTACAAGTTTAAAATGTGTTTGATTCTGAAATTAGAATGTTTAGAAGCTTCTACAGTGTGAAAGCCCCACAGGACAGTGCTCATGTTACTGCGGGTAGATGAGAAATATCCTAGGAGAATGCTGTCTCGGGTTCTGATCTACCAGTGTGTGTCTGCGGGAAAGCTTAATGTTACACAGGCAAAGAGTTGTACAACTACACAATCTGTGCTTTGCTTTTATGAAAAAGAGGTAAATTGTTAAAGAAAAAAAACCATGCCAATAACAAGGATTTGTTTAAGAAAGCAAATCTTAGGCATGTCTTTGTGAAGCTTAATATGTAGAACCATCTATATCCATGGCATATTATACACAGCAGATCATTTTGTTACTCCTGAGTCCTTAAGAAAATATTCCACTATATTTGGTGTCTTCAGTTCACTAAGGCAGAGAAGAACGTAATACACATTTTAAAACAGTATAAAGAGTTGAAATGGAAAATTTCTGTGCTTTAAAGAGGAAAGTATCGATTACCAAAAAACTGTCATTTGGAGTAAAATGTACTATCTTTCTTCCTTTATCTTAATTCATACATGTGATCAATATTTTTATCACTCCCTTCCTCTGCCATTTCTTGGTTAAATATGGAAATGAACACAAACTATCATTTTCTATAAAACATTTCACTTAGACACAAGATAAATATGCCAAAGACTTATTACGATCTTTCTGTCTTTAATATTTATTTCACAAATACTGTCAAGCATCCTTTAGAAGATATTATGCTTGGCACCTCAGGGAATATAAAGATGTAGACCTTGCCTTCAAGGACTTACATTTTGTGTCTCTTTCACTTCTAAGCTGCGGAATAGGTTTGACTAACAGCTCTTTGCAGGACCATTTCATGGAAGTATTAGTATTAGGCAGGCAAATCTGGGGGAAAAGATCAGCCCAATAACAGACAGCAGTCATTTTTCTCTGTATCTGAGATTAGATTCCTATATTCTTAGGAAGATGACTTTTATAATCGGCCAACTTTTAGCTCTTTGGATTTAGGACTTGCCACATTCTGAAAAGCAGATTAGACATCTACCCTCAAGGGACTTACAGTCTCATCTAACAAGGAGGCATATAGGAAGATAAATCAGAGCAATGTATTTTCATAGAAACCTTGATTTCTGTTCAGGACAGAGGGAATGGCCAATTCTGTGTAGAGATATAATAGGCTTTGTGAGAGGTTGAAGGTGGAGCTGAACCTTGAAAGAGGAGTAGGGGTTTGCCAAGTTGAGGAGGAGAAGAAGAGGCCATTCTAGGCAGAGAGATCAGCCCAAGCCTAGGCCTAGAGAAAAACAGCCTCCCTTATTTGGGGAATGGTTGAGTGTTCTAGAGCCTCAGGTGCAGGGGCGGTGCAGGAGGGAAAAGGGCAGACCTGACATATGAGGAGTTAGGAGCAGCTGGGTCACCAAGACTTGGTGTCTGTAGGGGAGGGGATGGGTATGGGAGGCACTGAGGAGGTAGTCAGCAGAGTCGGTGACTGCTGAGAGGAGGGCTGTGGTGACATTAATCTGCAACTGGCACCTCTAGCCTGTTGTGGCATCTACAGGCCATCCCCTAAGCTCAATCCCACCCACCATGTCCAGGTTCTCCCCTCTGTGCTTTTTCCCCTTACAGGCCCAGGCTTTAGACCTGCTGGGACCCCTGCAGGACAAACTGGTGATGGGATGGAGAAGAGACAGGGAAAAGATGGGCCCAGGGTTTGAAAGGCCCAGACCGACTGAAAATCCACTATGACACAGTGCTGTGTTGACACAAAAGCCCAGGGATCACTCAGGATCAGGTGGGACAACATTGTGTAATTGCAGCTTATTTGGCACTCAGGGCCCAGCTCCAGAACGTTCTATTAAACCATCTATATGTCCACTTGGAAGTTATCAGACAATCCCAACACTTGATTTTTCCCTCCAAAATGAAGCAAAATCAAGCTGTAACAAATGGAACTTGGTCTTCCCCTTGAAGCTCTTTTATTTGATTTTCATAGTCATTTGTGTGGGGTAGCAGACAAAAAGCAGACAGATGATCGTGTTTTCCTGGCCTGACAAGAACAAGCTGGTCAAGGGCCATGAAGGCCAGCAGATAGAGAGAATGGAGAATGGCCACAGTACAGGGGGGCCCAGCAGCCCCGTTCTGTGAGCCCAGGCACCCTGTTGACGAGCACTGCACAGTATCAACCGGAATCCCGTAGAAGGCAGGTAAGCAGCTGTCAGCCTTGTACTGAAGGGCTTCATTCTGAAAATACACAAGAGTCTCCTGTGTCAGACTTTAGAATGTGGCAAGAAGCTAGGTTCATGTTTTCTAGGGTTTTAGCACCAAAGCTAGAATTCTGATACGAGGTTTGGAAAAAAATCAGAGAGCTGACAACTTGTGTGAGAATAAAACAAATCATCACAAGCATTATATTAGCAGTGAATAGATCATGTTTGACATGTGAGTCAGAAAGTAGCCCATCCACTCAGATATATGGGCCAGTTTAACTCCTAGAAGCCTATGGATTGCAAAATCCTTTTTATTGTTATGTCCACCGACAGCTCCTACCTCTCTCAAACGTTTATGACCAAATGAGTTACTCTAAGTCATGTCAGGGAGCTTTTCCCTCTGCCTGAAGGCTGAGAGGAAGGCTCTGCCCATTCCTCAGCCCTTTGGCCTTCTGAATCTCTCTCTCCAACCCCAAAAGAAACTATTAAGGTCAATTTGACCATACAGTCAGTAAACTATCAATTATAGACATAGCAAATAATTAAATTGAGAGTAATCAAAGGTAGGATTTCAGCAACTTTAATAAACACCGGTTCCTCATGCAACATCCTAGAACATGAAAGAGGATGAGAATTAACATTTGGGTGCTTCCTGCATGCTAGCCATTTTGTTTGCACACCGTGCGTGAGAATAGATATTAAAAGAAAATTCCTGTGGCAATACTTGTGAATAGGTATACAACAAATGTGAGTTCTTCCTTACCCTTCTCCGCCTTTACCTGGTTGCCTAATAAGTTAATCTTTGCAACAGGTTATGGAATTGCTGTCATTATCCTTAATTTACTGATGAGAAAAGGCTGAGATAAATTAAATTGACCAACTTTGTCTAGCTAGCAAATGGTGACACAGATAGGGACCAGGGTCTGTGTTTCCAAGGTCCACATACTTTTTCCAGGGCATATGGGTGCTGACAATAGTAAATATAAATATATGTATATTTTTCCCCTAAGTCTGGTTTAGCACGACAGGTAACTTTGGGAGCTTATCCGAAGGATTACAAAACCCCCTTCCTGTTCTGGATCAAACCCAGAGGAAAATAGAATACGCCTGCCACCTTGAGGTGACCCTGTAGGCAGAGGGCATTGGGAGCCAGCATCGCTGCATTCAAGGGCACCTTGGGCAGTGAGTACCACTCCCCTCTGCCTCAGCCAGCTCCCTGCCAGGCTTTGTGTGGGAGGAGAGGTTCACTCCTGCACTCCCCCAGAAGGGAAAGAATCTAAAATAGCCACACCCACAAGAAGGAGGGAGTCTTTATAGAAATGATGAAGAAGAGAGGGAGGCATTGTCCTCTTCTATAATTTCCCCCTTTCCACTACACACGCACCAAAAAATATAAATAAATAAAAACCAGGGTATATATTTTGCATTTAGGTCCATTTGGATATGATTTGCAAAGATAATTTCTATTCGTCTGTCTGTTTTTGAATAAAGGAAAGTCATGCTCAGAGGTTCGTATAAATTAAAGATATGGAAGTATCTCATTGAAATTCTACTGATGTGCTGATCCTACCCCAGGACACCTCTCATCAAAAGATTTCTCTTGTAGTGCTGGTGCTAACTTATTAATAAAGATCATGCTTTCATTTGATTATCTACCTAATCAGGATTCACCTTCAGCTTAAGCTCATTAAGTCTGCTGCTGATAGAGTGTACTTGATGGTGGAATTACATCCACGCGAGACAGAAATGTGTTCAGGCATTAATGGTCAGAAACAAAGACAGAGCACCCTGTAAGCTCATGTCACCCCTTGAGTGGAGCGTGTGAACTGCCTGCCCACCAAATAGAAACGGCTAGTTTTGTAGAGTAAGGGCTGAACATTATAATTAAATACCCTTGGTAACAGAGCAACAAAAGTGACGACACACTAATTATTGCAAAAATCAAGAGAATAATACCCATTGTGTATATGCATCATGTTTCGGAAGTCTTCTAATGGGCTTTTATGTGAAACTTGTGAGCTAGATTCAGGATGCTGGTTGCTCCGTGTGCCCTAACCCAACTCCAGTGACTTGCATTTGACCTCTTTGCTTCCACTTGCTGGTCTTCTGGAGGAGTTGTAATACAAACCAGCCTAGTAACATTTCTCCTGGATCTCACAAAAACAGACAACTAGATCATCTTATTCTTACCTTATGGGTGGTTGCTCGGTTCAACTCCTATGGATAAATCCTCTTCTTTAAGTCCTTCTTGCCCTACAAGTAGGAAACTCCACTTTTTGTTAGGCTGAGAAAGCTCTCGCTACCACAGTGCCACATTGAAAGAGGGCCCAGGAACAGCAGAGCTATGCTGTTAACCGAGGCCAGGGTGTCCCCTCCTTGGAAACGCTGCAGCTCGGACTTGGCACTGTAATGGGCTAAATTATTTATCCAGTCGGATAAGAGAGAAGGCCACTAAGAGCCTCCTGAGTTAGTTTATAGCCTCAGTCCCTGGATTCAAACTGAGACAGGAAACAGGCCAGTTTACATCAGCAAAGAGAAAAAAAGACTTTTCCTTCAAAGTGCTCTTCCATCAGCTTTTATGCCTGGCATAAGCCCCATCCATGGTGAAAATAAGCTGTTCCCATCAATCTTCTAGGATTCATTGAGTACTGTGTGGCAGGCCCTGTAATATAAAAGATGCAGAATAGTGGCCTTTGCTCCCAGTAGCACACTCACTTGGACAGGCAGGGAAAGCATATGCAAAATTAAGCTTCTCATTCTTCATTTCCATATACACAGCATGTCAGGCACTGGGCTAGGTACTGGGGATGCAATATGGAAAACTACAGGCCAGTGAGCAAGATAGGAAAGCAGGTGATGGTGAAAATAACACCTGACTGATGCAGTGATGGGCAAAGGGTGTAAAGTGACACTGAGATAAGACGGGCCAGGAGACACATCAGATTAATTTCTCAGTAAGTGATACATATAGTAAAAGCCATGAGATCAAAGCAGAGTTCTTAATTTTGGTTTTGAGATCGCTGTCAACAATATACTCCAGTATCAGTCACCACTCCACATATGCAGTTTGTGCAGTGACTCTTCCAGGACCCTCTCTATGTGAAGGACAGCTGGTTTATCTGAGGCCAGTGCTTTATAGGCTTTTTGATTAGTCACACAGACCAGGCTGTGAGTCTGGATAGAATGAGGTCATTGATGAGAGGCGTGTCTGCAAATAAGGCATGTCCCTCCTTCTGGGGGGTTTACCTCAGTCTCCGGAGCCATCCTTCAGATCAGGAAATTTGGCCCTGACCTTGATGACCTTTCACTGTGGACTTGGGAGGGGAAAACAAAAACAGTGCATAGAAATGTGCTTCTTATAACAGTGGATAGGAAATTTGTATGCAATTACTTTTCCAATGGAGAGTTGTACTTAAAGTCATGATTCTTTAAGTATTATTTATATTCCTTGTTACAGTCCCTGGACTTATAAATCTCATTTTTATCTCTTTTAAGACACTTGTCTTGATGTCCTCTATTTTGTTTATTTGCAAACATGGCCCTTTCCATCCCATTAATTTCTTAAGAGCAAGAAATATGCTTTATGCATCTTTCAGAACTCCTTATTATAACTTAGCACATTGCTTTACATATAATAGGCACTTAATAATTATCTGATGAATGAACTATATCATCCAAAACTGGAAGATGTATGGGGCATTTGGGTTTAGGGCCTTTCCTGAAATTTACCGAAGAATAGTCCTTCCCAAGTTGGGAAAGATCATGCAACTTAAGAAGAGAGGGAGAAACCAGCTTGCAATGATAAGTGATGGGAAGAACACGTTCCAAGCTAGCCCCATCAGCAAAAGCATTGCTAACCATCAACAGCAAGGCAGATGTCAAAGTCAGATTACCTTTACAGTCAACCCTGAAATTCTTATTATAAAGGAGATGCTCATGATGTGAACCAGCATTGGATATTGTAGAATATAATCCAGTGGTGGACTCAGTCTCATGCATGATCACAAACAAGGGGAACACTATGAATAAAAATGACATTAAATGTGGCTATGGAGTACATAGTAGACATCACTACTGCTTAGAAGTTGTCTTCAAGGTAGCACCTGGCATGAAAGAGTAAAGTTACAGTCCCATAAACCTTTGATACAAACCACTGCAGGGGGCGGTGCTGTCCACAATTGAGTTTCAGTTCCTGATCCTCTCATTTCTCCACATCATTCTCTGCAGGGGGCATTGGCTGTGTAGGTCGAGACAAGGGCCAGGTTCGAAAATGCCTTGACGTGGTGGAGATCTACAACCCAGATGGGGACTTTTGGCGAGAGGGCCCTCCCATGCCAAGTCCCCTCCTCTCACTCCGCACCAATTCCACCAATGCGGGGGCAGTGGATGGGAAACTCTACGTCTGCGGGGGATTCCATGGAGCAGGTATTGGTCCAGTTTTAAACATTTTGTTACCTCCTTTGGTGTTGATTTGACCTTCTTTAACTGATCCAATCATCACTAATACTCCTGAGAGCAACGTGAGCACTGCAAAAGCATGGCTTTTAGAGTCAGGGACCCTGTGCAAAATCTCTGGGCCTGGGTTTCACATGGACAAAGTGAAGCTGGCACATCCATAGGCTGTCGTAAGAATTAAATGGAATCTAGTTTACAGCTATACCATCCTGAACACACCCGATCTCGCCTGATCTTGGAAACTAAGCAGGGTTGGGCCTGGTTACTACTTGGGTGGGAGAATTAAAAGGGAATCCAGTTTGTACAGCATCTAGCACATAGCAGACACTCACTATATAATAGCTGAGTGTGAAGAGAAGAGAAATGGGAGAGGTAGCCTAATGCTTATGGTGAGACTAAAGGAGAGATTTTAAAATGGGAAGAGTAGATGAAAGTGGAGTAGTGACCAGAAGTGTTGGGTTTTATCTGATCAAGACTCAGAAAACTCTCTTATTCCTACCCCATGACTACCACTTGAAATAAATGGCTTGAAAGCATTTCTAAAATAATACCTAATCCATGTATTTATTACTAAACTTGTTTTCCATATATCTAATTGTACCATCACTGCCTTCTACAGTATGGATTCATAATTTTTTAATGTAACAATGAGATTCCAAACTATGCATAAATCTAGTAGGCACATGCCTCCAAAGTTTGATTAGTGGCACAAGTAAATAAGGCAGAATGCAATTACATTAAAAATGACTAACTGTTGAATTACATTCTCACTAACAGAAGCACAAGGCCAGTACATACCTATGAAACATGTGCCTCAAGAGCACTTAGAATTTTGGAAGAATGCCAGGTTAAAGTAAAGCTGATACTGCAGCAAAGCAGAGCCTTTTGCAAGCCTGCCTTCACTCTTTAAGCACATGATATGTTAAAGAATAAGACGGTTGCTGGGCACGGTGGCTCACGCCTGTAATCCTGGCACTTAGGGAGGCCGAGGCGGGTGGATCACGAGGTCAGGAGACTGAGACCATCCTGGCTAACACGGTGAAACCCCGTCTCTACCAAAAATACCAAAAAATTAGCCGGGTGTGGTGGCGGGCACCTGTAGTCCCAGCTACCTGGGAGGCTGAGGCAGGAGAATGGAGAACGGCATGAACCCAGGATGCGGAGCTTGCAGTGAGCGGAGATTGCGCCACTGCACTCCAGCCTGGCAACAGAGCGAGACTCCAGAAAAATTAAAAAAAAGAATAAGTCAGTTATTACAAATTAAAACAGACTCAGGAGATAGAGGAACCAAATGCAGTGGTGCGATTCAAACAGATAATCTAGGAAGTTTGAATGTGGACCAGGGTATTAGATGACATTGTAGAATTATTAGTTTTGTTGGGAATAATAGTTGCATTGTAGTTTTATATAAAAGATAAAGAAAAAGCCTGAATAATAGAGATTGTTTCGAAGAATTTGTGGGTGAAGGCCGAGCACAGTGGCTCACGCCTGTAATCCCAGCACTTTGGGAGCTTGAGGCAGGTGGATCACGAGGTGAGGAGGATCACGAGGTGAGGAGATCGAGACCATCCTGGCCAGCATGGTGAAACCCCATCTCTACTAAAAAAAAAACAAAACGAAAATTAGCTGGGTGTGGTGGTGCATGCCTGTAATCCCAGCTACTCAGGAGACTGAGGCAGGAGAATTGCTTGAACCAGGGAGTCAGAGGTTGCAGTGAGCCAAGATCGTGCCACTACACTCCGGCCTGGCAACAGAGCAAGACTCCATAGGAAAAAAAAAAAAAGAGAAAGAAAGAAAAAGAAAAAATAATTTGTGGATGAAAATGATATACTGTCTGAAATTTGTTTTAATCTATTCCAGCAAATATTGTTTTTAACGGCAAGAGGTGGCAGGAATACATTGAAAGTTGCCATAATAAAAACTTTACTTTTTCTTTCTCTATTTGTTCTTCAAAACATTTTTCAAAGAGGTTTTTAAAAAATTGTTTTAATCTCTTTTACATTAAACATTACGTGCCATGCTTGGGTAAAGATTGTAATCTATCATAGTAGTAAGAAACCTGGCCCAGCAAGGAATCCTAATAGGGGCCCCTTGCTCAAGCCCTGCATGTAAGAAGGGAGCTGAGGAGCCAGGAGGGAGAGCCCTGGTGCTGTGCTCACTCGTGTGGCAGTGCTGTCCTCCAGCTTGCTTATATGAGCACCTCCCATCTTCTGACCTTTGACTTTCTCTTGACAAGAAAAGAAGGACAGAGAATCCGAGGGTTAGCCTCCAGAGGGAAGGGTGGTTATTCACGTCCAAGGATCTAGAAGACATTCTGTTTTGTTTTGCTTCTTTATCTTTCTTTGTATAATATTGAATTAGAGAATTGATATCCTCCAGTTTTTCAAACATGTCAAAAAACTCATACTATGAGCTAACCTGTCTTCTTGGTACTATTAATTAATGGACTGGTAATGCTTTCAGTCAAAGGGACTTACTATATGAGCTCTCAGAGTCCATTTTAATTATTTGTTTCTAAGATGGTAGATTGTTTGGGATTCGCTGAATGAATCATCACTGGGATTTTATACAAAATAGAACAAGATTTTCAACATTTGGTGGGAAAGACAGATGGATAAACATGTAATAAACATAGTAATTTGTTTTTGGTTAAAAGGTAGGTTGAACACCTCTATTTTATCTTCAAGCCCCACTAAAATGACAGTAAGTGGAATAAACACAGACAAAGAGAAGAGAGAGGAAAATAGCAACAACAAATTGGAAGCTAAAAAGTAGATGTATGAGTAGTAACTAAGTAGACCTAAGAAATTGTAATCGTAACTGGCAACAGAAAAAAACAAAAAACAAACAAACCCCCTGATTTGTAACCTGGAACCCCAGATAATCTCAGAAGTTGGCAACAAAAGGTAAGTCTGGACATTGAAATGAAAATGGTACTGAAAACATGAATATTAGCTGAAAGGCAGGAAGACCCCTAATTTCCTGCCCTACTCTTGATAGTGAGACAAAGACCTTTCACCCTAACAAAGGCTAAGGTTGAGGACAGGAGTTAAGGTCAGGCATCCAGTAATTTAAAAAGAGATAGAGTGGAAGGTTGTATATTGAATATTGAGGTCCTCAGCCTCCTTCCTTCTCTGGCTCCTATAATATGCACAGCCATACCCTCTTAGCAAGAGATTGGGAGGTTCTTCTTTGGGGGTCTGACCA